TGGGAAAGAAATGGAGAAGAGACTCAATATTACTGGGCCAGATACAAGAACCAGCATAAAAAAGGGGAGGGACAATGCAGATAAAATAGAAGAGAAGGGATCATTACCAAAATTACTTAAGAAAATATCCTGCAATTGAAAGACATGAATTATTACATTGAAACAACCCACTGGCTGTTCAACACAATGGGTTGAAATAGACCCAATGCCAGTTTCAGAATTCTTGACAGGAAGATTCCAAAAGTTTGTAGAGTTAGAAGGCAGAAATACATACAAAGGATCAGGAATCAGAATGGTTTGCGGCTTATCAAAACAAAACTGGCAGCTAGAATTCTAGAATTCTAACTTAGAATCCTGCAGCCAACCAAACTATCAACTCATATATTTGAGTTCTCAAAAAAAAAGCTATAGCCTGGGGTGCCTGGGTGGCTCAGTTGGTTAAGCGACTGCCTTCGGCTCAGGTCATGATCCTGGAGTCCCGGGATCGAGTCCCACATCGGGCTCCCTGCTCAGCAGGGAGTCTGCTTCTCCCTCTGACCCTCTTCCCTCTCGTGCTCTCTGTCTCTCATTATCTCTCTCTCAAATAAATAAATAAAAAATCTTAAAAAAAAAAAGCTATAACCTGTAAACTATTACTCAGAAACCTACTGAAGGATGTATAATGAGAGAGTAAACCAAAAAGGAGGAAGAACATGAGATAACAAGACATAGGAAATCTAACATTGAGAGAGGTAAAGGCAATTCTCAGGGTGAAGAGGTAGGGAAAGAATTTCTCAGATGATAGCTATACACTAGTCAGGAAGGTAGTCCAGAATTAAGCAGTGTGACTCCCGACCCAGATATGTTGAGGGCCTTCTGTATTACACATTCTCATACCTGATAAGAATGGGTAGTCTGTCCCCAGACTCTTATCTACTTAGCTTGTAGGGACCGTGTGCTGATGAAATTCTTGCTCTCTCCTCTGTACCCTGCTGCTGGATAACCAAAGACATTCATTTCACCCCACAGAAGAATTTTGCTTTGAACTACTGCTGAGAGCTGAAGATTGGCCCCGGTAAGTAAGCTTAGACGCAGAAAATAGAGAGTACCGTACTCCCATTGATCATATTCTGTCACATCTCAGCACCTGGCCCACACTGCAACCCTGCCAGATGCCTTCACTGTGTTGAGCCCTATGTTTCCTGGGACTCATTCTTGCCTCCCCTAAATGGGGTTATGATAAACTCTGAAAAGCTGAAGACAGACTGTGACTCTCTTGACCTGATCTTCTCTGAGAACCTTTCTCAAACAGTGGCAATAATGCTTTTTCCATGCACAGCCAGGTTTGTGCTTTCCTGGTGGTTTTTAAACCACCCTTTTTCATTCATTTATATACAAATACTTACAGTTAAAAATAAGAAAATATTTGAGAAAATCTATTCTTGTCGTTCACCATACTTAAAAAAAAGAGAAAAAGTACATGAAGATAGCAGTAGATTTAGAAAGAGCATTCTATAAAATTCAACAGCTATTTACAAACTAAAAACAAAACCCTTTACAAATTAGTAATAGACGGGAACTTTCTTAACTTGTGAACTCTACAGCATCTAACACATGTAGTAATGAAATGTTAAAAAAAAAAAAAAGTTATCTTTAAAATGATGAATAGGGCGCCTGGGTGGCTCAGATGGCTAAGCGTCTGCCTTCGGCTCAGGTCATGATCCCAGGGTGCTGGGATCGAGTTCCGGATCGGGCTCCCTCCTCAGCGGGGAGCCTGCTTCTCTCTCTCTCTCTCTCTCTCTGTCTCTCATGAATAAATAAATAAAATCTTTAAAAAAATAAATAAAATGAATAAAACAAGAATATGTATTATCACCACTTCTGTTCAACATTACACTGGTTGAAGGCTTGTCCAATATAGTATTTGCAAATCGCATGATCACGTACAGAAAATGTCATAGGACATGTACCAAAAAACTACTAGAAGTAGTAAGTTGGAATTCAGCAAGGTCATGAAATTAAAATGAATATTCAAAAATCATATTTCTATATACTAGCAGCAAACAATTGAAAAGTGAAATTTCAAAAATACAATTTCCAGTAGCACCAAAAAACATCAGATGTTTAAGGATTAAATTTAGCAACTGTATGTAAGGCCTGCATATGGGAAACTACAATGAACAGTTTTTTGCTGAGGGAAATTAAAGAAGACCTAAATAAATGGATAGATGTACCATTTTCATGGATTAGAAAACTCAATATTATTAAGATGTCAGTTCTCCCCAACTGATCTATAAGTTTAATGCAATCATAATCAAAATCTCTGAGGGCTTTTGGTAAAAATTAAGAAACTGATTCTGAAATTTATATGGGAATGCAAAGGATCTAGAAGAAGTAAAATAATTTTAAAAAAGAATGACACAGGCGCCTGGGTGGCTCAGTTGGTTAAGCGTCTGCCTTCAGCTCAGGTCATGATACCGGGGTCCTGAGATCAAGCCCCACATCGGGCTCCCTGCTCAGTGGGGTGCCTGCTTCTCCCTCTCCTTCCCCCCCGCCTCCCCAGCTCCCCCGTGTCTCTCATTATCTCTCTCTCAAATAAATAAATAAAAAATCTTAAAAAAAAAAAAAGCTATAACCTGTAAACTATTACTCAGAAACCTACTGAAGGATGTATAATGAGAGAGTAAACCAAAAAGGAGGAAGAACATGAGA